CACTACACCAAAATAGGATCTTACCTCTCTTTGATCTTCTGAAGCCTTTCAGGATCTCTTGAAGGAGGTACTTTGGACTTGTCATTATCTTGTCCATCAGACTGATTCCAGCCAGACGGAATAATGTCTACGGTTATCATAACATTATCGGATAAGTTGTTCCCCAGCGTCGGCGGCACCGCAAACCGCAAGAAAGAACCAGGCAGTATTCCTGACATTCCTGAATTTCTTCTACCATGCCCTGAATCCGGCGATGAGGCAGATGTAGCACTGTTCGGTACTGAGGGTGTTGGTGGCCTTGCAGCAGGCCTGAGGGAATCACTTTGTGCTTCAAGGGTAGCTTCACCCCCTGATTCTCTCCTCCTAAAAAGATGCAGTGATCTAGCCGGTGCTTCAGAGGTAGAGGTTCTTGCAGTTTCATCTCTTCCTTCTCTCCTCCTTCTGGAAAACAAAGGTGTACACCTATTCCTTAGAGATGACGACAGCCAGGACCCTGCATTTCTACTTTCAGACTCAGGTCTGTAACCCTCAGCTTCTGAATCGGAACTAGGATGTGGCGAAACACCCGACAGGCCCCATCGTCTTCTAAGAAAGCTAAATCCCTGAGAAACATCAGGAGACTGAGCTTCTGTACCCTCAGCTGTGTTGGCAGCATTGGCTTGAGTAGAAGAAAGAGCTCTTGAAACAGGTGAATCTTCTGGACCTAACTGTCTGGAAGTCAAAGAATCTTGACTAGACCTTCTCGAGAAAAATGTGGAGGACATACTCGAAGCTAAACGAGACAGCAGCTGCCTAGTTGTTCGCCTTCCTTCAGTATCACTGGGAGGTTCGCTTAATGACCTTTGGGGCTGTGTGATCCTTTCAGAACCGCTGGAGGAACTGGCTCCACTCCTCATGGCACCGTGGGTAAACTCTGGCTGTATATTCCTTTCTGAAGATTCTACCTCTCTTGGGACATAGTTAGATCTTGAACTCCAGCTATGGTCTCTAGAGAGTAATGATGATTGATGTTCAGAAGGCAACTGGCGGTTCATGGATGTGTTCAGCCTCAAAGAGCTTAACGAGTTGTCCTTTGGCCTTGCTCCTTGTGCATACGAAGCAGCAGATCTTTCCTGAAGGTCTGCCATGGAAGAATAATAAAAATAACCAAAACAAGTTAACTCTTAAGATAGGTATTGACCAAACACTACTATTAGACTAGCCAAACTGATTATACTTGCCATAACATGGATTAACAAGAGCCTA